TGGACCACGGACCTCAACTATATAAGGAACTAGGAGGCGGACCAAATACACAATATGCACAGAACACATATACTCAACCCCCCTCCCCCTCCCCCCCGCGCAGTCGAAGCGGCACCGCGCTGACGCAAAGACTGGACCAGAACTCCTCAAATGACACCGTAGGCAAGCCCTTGGTCATGATATCTGCAAATTGTTGGGAAATAGGGACGTGTAGAACACGAATATGGCCAAGGGCCACCTGTTCCCGAACAAAATGAATATCCAACTCAATATGCTTGGTCCGTCGATGATGCACTGGGTTAGCGGAGAGGTAGACCGCCGAGACATTGTCGCAGTAGACCACCGTGGCACGGTCAACAGGGCAAGAAAGCTCCTGAAGCAGCTGGCGAAGCCACGAACACTCGGCGAGCGCGTCCGGCCAGAAACGAGGCAACACGTTGGCATGAAACAAGAGCGTGCAAACGCAGTCATTCAGAGTGCAAAGGACGCGTTCGGCTCGACCTTTCTGCTGTGAAGTGTACGGACATGTGAGGCGGAAAACTATACTGTGATGCGACAAAAAGATGCGGAAAGCGAGGTTGTCGAACTCTTTTTCATTGTCCGTCTGAAGTGCAAGGATGGGACGCCCAAACTGCGTGCGGACATAGGAGTAAAAAGCCGTCAAGGTAGAGATTGCATCCGACTTTCTCTGCAAAGGAAAAGTCCACACATAATGAGAATAATCATCAAGAATGACTAGATAATATAAATAGCCCGAGTTACTGGGAACCGGAGAAGTCCACACATCGCTATGAATCAACTGAAAAGGAAAAGAAGCAATTGTGGTGGAATTATTAAACGGCAGACGAACATGTTTGCCGACTCGACAGGCATGACAAGTGTGATCCTCAATCTTATTGCAACTGAAACTGAAACTCCTAACAATAGAACGAAGTGTGACGGGGTTGGGATGACCCAAGCGAGCGTGCCAGAGATCGACTCCAGCGGAGAGTGCAACCGGTGCGGTGGTGGTGGATGAAGGCGAGTGCACCGGATAGAGCTCGTCGGGGCTGTCACATCGGTGAAGTACCGTCCTGGTTCGAGCGTCTTTGACACAAAAACTAAACTCGTCAAATTCAACGGCAACAGGATTTTCACGAGTGAAACAGCAAACCAAAATGAGATTCTTAATAAGATGAGGTGACACAAGTATGTTAGACAAAGATAATGGAGTAGAACTAGAAGGAAAAGAAGTATGCCCAATGTGTGTGATAGGAAGTGTGGAACCGCCGCCAACAATGATGCGGCGGTCGATGGAGACAGGAGTGAAGGAGGCAAGGTTATCAGGATGAGCAAACATGTGAGCCGTAGCACCGGTGTCCATGTACCAATCATCACCTCTAGTGTAGTTAGTCGGCGTAGGAGCGGCATGCAGTGCGGGCAGGAGCACCGGGTCCCAGGGCGCCGGCGGCAAGGCTGGCGAAGGGGACGGAGATGCCATGGGGAGGCCGTAGCCGCTGCTCGGTTGTGGCGGTGGGTACTCTCCATACGGTATGGGTAGCAGCCCCGGCTGCAAGTGCGGTGCCGGGTAGGCCGGATGGCCCGCCGAAAAAAACCGATTGCCCGCTGACAGATGCTACAGGTGCTAAGCGTCGGCTGGCTGCTGCCCAACGGGCGAATGCTGGCCTGCTGACGACCCCCACCAGTACTCGGGATACCCATACACGGGCGGAGCCCCGTACGTAGGTTTCCCATACATGGGAACGGGCGCGTCAAACGCCCCGCACAACCGCAATGGGTCGACAAGCAGAGAGGGCGCCGGCGGCGGGGCGACGACGGACTGGCCGGAGTGCGCCGGTGGTGGCGGGGCCGCGCCGTAGGACGCCAATGGCAGAGCCACACCAGAGGGCCCGTATCGGGACCGGCCGGAGAGCGCCGGCGACGGGGGGCCACGCCGTACGGCGCAGACAGGACGGTGGCGCTGTAGGAGCCCACTGGCGGCTGAGCGATGGAATCGCCGAAGACCGACGACGGTGACGCGGCGGAGACCGAAGCAGTGGCAGCCATGGAGGCGCCGGCCAGGAAAAGCAGCGGCGAAGAAGCCAAAAACGGAGCAGCGGCGGCTAGCGGGTAGCTGGTGGCGCGAGAGGCGTGACTCGGCCGACAGGGAGGCGCGCACGGGCGATCGGGTGCAGCGGGTTCAGCGGCTGGCGGGCGATCGGGAAAAGCAGGAGACGCGCGGACAGAGTGCAGTGGCTGCCGATGCGAGTGTAGCGGCTGGCGGGGCTAGCGGGCAATCAGTGCAGCGGGCTGGCGGCTAGCGAGTAGTCGCGATCGGCAGGCAACTAGCAACAGGGGATTCTGTACCGATGTACCTTTGAATTAAGCCCTAGATCGCGCACAAATACTTGATGGATCAATGGCAGAATCATCTGAGTGGAAAACATCGTGGAAGTGATCGGTGTAGCCCCCTAACGCTCGACGGCTGGCAAACGGAGCAGCGCTGGCGAATGGCAAGCGGCACTATGGGATCAACAAGATGGACGAGCGGCGCGATCGGGGGGCTTGGCGCGGGCAAGGGAGGGAGGAGCGGCGGTTGGGTGGCGGCGGCGGCGGCAACAAAAGACAAAGATTAAAACCTAAAAACTGATACCATGTAGGATATGTGAATTGTACGATGTATTGCTTTTCGTGCATAGGCATATATATATGATGTATAAAGATGGACTACAGACCTCAACTATATAAGAAACTAGAAAACGGACCCAATACATAATATGCCCATAACACATATACTCAACATTCAGTTCCTTCCGAAAACTCTATTTGCTGGAAGCATGATCAAGTCCTTATCGTATTTAAATACTCCTTGCTAGCCATCCTGACATGATTTGCCTTCACTTCCGACCTCATGTGAAACTGTTTCTTTTTTTTAGGAGGAAGCCAGCGGTACAACTACTGAAGAATGAAAAGAGAACAAACTATTACGGGTAAAACTACGGGCAACTTCATTGTGTGGTACACCGTCAAACCAGTTTTGAATGGTTTCCCCCGGGAACTACATATGTATTAGGTTTAGACTCAGGCTTGCACTTAGAGGATCTCCTCTCATACTTTATGTCCCCCACTAGTCTAAAACAGGAGGATTGCAAAGGTATTAAGTGGACGGGTTCACCCTCTCATCCTAGCATTACATATAATCCATAACTATTTTTGTTTATAATCTCAAAAAGGAACGCTCGTAAACATGTTCTTAGTACATAAATAAGCCCTATTGTCCAGGTCATACGACACAGATACCCTCGCGGTCACGGGGTAAAATGAGTCGCATCAGGCTTAGGAAAATAGATGTTGAAACAAGAATCTAAATATGCGCAAATTCATTTGTTATAAGGAAATAGATGAGAATAGCACTTGATAGATTCCCATTAAAATACTTGTACGTTAATCATGATTTTAGGGGGAGTCTGTTAAACATGTAAAAACTTCCTCGTGAGTCTAGCATTTTTCTTTCTAAAACCTAGTTATAGAAGGCCTAACTGTGTTTATTTGTTCCCACCATAATACTCCATCGTTCCGTTTTAGTCTGCATACAAATTTTGTCTAAAGTCAAAGTATCTCTAATTTGGCCAAGCTTATAAAAGAAGTATCAACATTCACAATATTATTAGATTCATTATTGAATGTAGTTTCATATCATATATATATTTTTTGTATTGTACACGTTGATAATTTTTAATAAAAAATTGGTTAAACTTTGTAAAGTTTAACTTGACATAAATCTTATATGCATAGTTAAAAGGACCAGAGGGATTATTTGTTTTCTGTTCTTCAGCAGCCCATGTTTATATTGAGCTGTGGCTGTACTTGCAAGTCAAGCCGGCGGCTCGCACTCCTTGGCCGGATCATTCTAAAAGAAGCACGTTCAAGTTCATGCATCTAATTGTTCCTTGCTAACCACCCTCACATGGTTGCCTTCAGTTCCTTCCGAAAAAACTCTATTTGCGTTCGTCACGTGATTTGCGTTCAGTTCTGGCCTCATGTGAATCTATTTTTTTGTCCTTCCACGTAAGAGATTAGTCCTCCGAGTTTTTTAGCAATTATAATTAGTGCCTAACCGGTATCCAAATCCACGACCGGCCGCGGAATCACGCAAGGAAGCCGAGCTTTGCTCGCTCACCAGATGGTGACCCCGCACCGGCTTCCTTCATCAATGGCTTGGTCTTCGTCGTTTGCCTGGGAGTGCCACACCACGGTCTGCTCGTCATTCATGAAGCCAACTTCAAAATAATTCTGGTGGTTTTTGAAGTCGTTGAAGCAGCCGCGCCGCCCTTGGTTGCATCAGTGTAGCCGACGACACTCATCCTGGTGAAGCATGTGCAAATTCATTTGTTATAGGGAAGTAGATGCGAGTAGCACTTCATAGATTCCCATTAAAATACATATATTTTAATTGAAACTCGGAATTTTTAGCTCTTGCTAAGTCAAAACTTTGGGAAATATGAGATTTGGCCAAAGTAGGGTTTTAGAAAATTGTTGAGGGTTGGTTCACAAGATGACCTTTGGTGGATTCTCAACACAAGAACAATTCACACAGGACCACAAAACAATGGGAGAGAAAAAGGTTTTAATTACTACCATTAAAAAAATTCAGAAGTATTCTGTTGGTTCCGATTTTTAGATTATAAACATTTTGTAGTCCAAACTTTTGGAATGTGACAGTATGAGTCGGACCAACCAAACATATTTAATAGAATCATGTCATGCTGTAATAATCTGATAACAGGGAAGAATTGCGGAACCAAACTTGTTCGTAGTAGTATACTAGTTCCAGTAGATACTATACGTGGAACGCAACAAGCAAACAAAAAACGAAGCAACCTCTAGTTGATTAGAATCATCCATAAACCCTACTCCCTTCGTCCCATAACCTAAGACGTTTTTGCAAGAACAACACTCTTAGATGGAGGGAGTATTATATAAGACGGCCCGGTAGTCACTACAGATTCATAGCTAGCACGATGAAGAATGATGCATCCTACTTTATGCTAGTGCTAGCTCTGGTTCCTCTTGTGTACATTATTCGGTTCTACTACCTAGCTTCCTCTCGTTGTCACAACCGTGGCCTGCAGCTCCCTCCAGGGCCATGGCAGCTACCTGTCTTCGGCAGTCTCCACCATCTTTTTGGCGCACTCCCACACCGTGCATTACGAGACCTATCAAGGCGACACGGCCCTCTCATGCTCCTCATGTTCGGCGCGAACCGTCCGGTCATCGTCGTTTCCACCGCCGAGGCTGCCAAGGAGATGATGAAGACGCACGACACCACCTTCTGCGCGAGGCCACTGACCTCAGCTCTCAAGGCCATTAGCAAGCATGGCCTGGGCATCGTCTTTGCCCCGTACGGTGACCACTGGCGGCAGATGCGCAAGATCTGTTTCCTCGAGCTGCTGAGTGCCAAGCGCATCGCCTCGTTCGGCTCCATCAGGGGAGAGGAGACGGATAGATTCATCCGGTCCATCTCGGCTACGCTAGAGCCGGTCGTGAATCTGAGCGAGATGCTGGCGGCGTACCTGACAGACACGACGGTGCACATGATCATGGGTGGACAGTTCACGGAGCAGGACACCTTGCTCCGACACGTTGATGAGGCGGTAGGGATTGTAAGCGGTGTCGCCCTGCCCGACCTGTTCCCGTCGTCGAGGCTGGCGTGCGCTCTGAGCACCACACTGCACAGAGCCGAGGTGTTCCGAGAGGCCTTTTTAGCGTTGATGGGCCATGCCATAGATGATCATCTGGAGAGCAGGAGGAGCGCTTCTTCCTCTGAACAAGTAGACCAGGAAGACATCATCGATGTGCTCTTGAGGGTGCAGGGAGAAGGAAACCTTGAGCCACCCCTCACCATGAACAACATCAAAGCAGTTGTCTTCGTAAGTTGTACTACTATAATATGTCCTAAATTTACAAGCACTAGTTTGTACTATACTTATTTTGAGACGGAGGGAGTACAACTGAACGTGTGCCGTTATATATGCTTATCCTTTGTACAGTATATATCAATCCATGGTTTTATTCACTAACACAAGAAAGAATACAATACATACAGGACCTTCTTGCAGGGGGGACAGAGACAACATCGACAACGCTACAGTGGGCCATGGCAGAGCTGATGCGAAACCCAAGCATCATGTCGAGGGCGCAAGATGAGGTCAGGGGAGCCTTCATGGGACAAAACAAGGTTACTGAAGAGGGTCTAGGTGAGCTGAGCTACTTGCAATGCATCATCAAGGAGACCTTGCGGCTGCACCCTCCTGGGCCATTAGTGCCAAGGGAGTGCAGAGAGGACTGCAGAATACTCGGCTACGACGTGCCCAAAGGCACCACCATTCTCGTCAATGTTTGGGCCATCTCTAGAGACCCAGAATGCTGGGATGAGCCCGAAGAATTCGTGCCTGAGAGGTTTGTGGCAAGTGCCAGAGATTTCAAAGGCAACAGCTTTGAGTTCATACCATTCGGCGCTGGTCGTCGGATTTGCCCCGGGATGCTATTTGGGCTCGCTACTATTGAGCTAGCTCTTGCAAGCCTTCTATTTCATTTTGATTGGAGTCTCCCGGATGGCACTCTTCCTAGTGAACTGGACATGACAGAAACCATGGGAGTGGCGGCTAGGAAGAAGGTGCCTCTGTGGTTGCGTCCAACTCCCCATGTATATTTGCCTTGCTGAAAATCATGCATTCATGGTTCTGCATCTGTTCTCTTTGGTTCTACTGTACTATGTTTTAACTAGCAGCACAGTACGTAGCCCGTGCAATCCTATTCCTGGGCATGTTCTGGTCATTCTGTTATCAAGTTGTGTTTTGAAATAAAAAAATTGGTTGTTGAGATATTTTTAAACATATATATATCTCCTCCTGCCCCCCCCAAAAAAACGTATATGTCTCATGTGTTATGGATCTGCAATGTGTTTAGTCCTTAGGGCATCTCCAACCCTGACCCTTATATTTCCTTCCGCATCCGTCTGCGGACATGGATGCGGGATCCGGCCATCCAATGCTATTCGCGTATGTCCGGTTTCATTTTGGAAGAATTTTAACGAAAAGAAACAAATTTGATGCATATTTAAACACACAAGATTCATTCATACTAGGATGATTTTTACATAAAACTGGATGTTTTTCATCTAAATCAAAGCAAATTCATAACATTTAGAATAATTAGTTGTACTGCTTGAATCCATACTTGTACTCCTTATTTGCTTATGCTTCGATGAGGAGAGGAGAACATTGCTGGTCGTGCATGAGCTTTCATTTACAGCCCATTTATTTATTCATTTACTTTTGGCGTAAAAACATTAGCAGCCAGATTTGAGTAATGTTTCTTTTTCTTCAGACACATAATTTGGCTTTCTGAATCTATCAGGTATGACAAGGATGTCTATTCAGTTCTTGCATCAAGAGTTGCTTGAGATGCATGGTTCGGTAAACTGATAGAGAACGCCCACTAGTAGAAAATAGGGCCTTGGTTCGGGCATGGCAAGCCCATTAGTCCCAGTTCTTTCACGAACCGGGACCTATGGGGCATTCGTCCCGGTTCGTGAGCCCAGGGGGCCGGCCGAGGCCTCGTGGGTATTGGTCCCGGTTCGTATGGACCCATTTGTCCCGGTTCGAGGCACAAACCGGGACCAATGGGCCTTGCTCCTGACGCACAACCATTGGTCCCGGTTCTTGGCTTGAACCGGGACAGAAGGCTGGGCTTTAGTCTTGGTTCCAGCCACGAACCGGGACAAATGAGTTTCCTATATATACCCCATCGCCACAGCCAAGTACTCCACAGTGCTCTGTTTTTTCTGGCCGGTAAGGGGAGGGCATTTGGGTGCTCTAGCTCACCTCCTATGCACATGAGGTGTTTGATGAAATGCCCGAGCCACACTAGTTAAGCTTTCTCCTCTCGAAACTCGACCTCCAAGCTCCATTTTCCCCAAGATATGCATAGGTTTAGCGGTCCGTCCCGTCCCGTCCCCGTCTTCACCGCCGTCGATCACCCGCGCCGATCTCGTCGCCGGCACCACCGTGGTGAGCCTCTTGTTCTTATCTTCTTTCTGAAAGAAAATAATTCTTACTTTACATAGATACTTGTCTAATTTTCTAACTTTTATTATTGCTTGTTATTATATAGTGCGATGATTTTGTTATCCGCCTCCGTCGGCCCTCGTCCTGTCTATGATTCAGATGTGGTATATATATATTATTATCTTTTTATAACTATTTGGTTAATTTATTGTTTATGACGATTATGCCGACCAATGTTACATAGATTTTATTTATGTAGGAGGTAGTCGAACCGTAAATTCCAACCGACCCTATTGTTGAGAGGTTAAATTTAGTTGAAGAAGAAAACAATTACTTGAAGGAAAAAATAAAAAAATTGAGGAGGAGAAGATGATATTGGAGTTGCATATTGCGGATGTCGTCGATGATTAAAAGATCAAGATGGATGCAATGCGGTTGAATACTAGAAAGCTTAAAAAATATGCAATTCATACCGAGGCTTGGTATCATTATGCCGTTGGATCAATTTTTACCTTGGTTGTGATTATGATCGCATTTGTTGTTACATTGAAAGGTTTTACATAGTTTCAATGTATGGTTTAATTAGATGCTCTGGAGAGCTATATGTTGTTCAATGAGAACTATGTATGTACTTTGTTTTTAATGTGATGATGAACTTCTATTAATTTGGTCACTTATCTATTCATGAGAGCTATATGTTGCCTTCAATTTCAGGGTCTTATAGCTCAAAATAATCAGTAAATGCATGAAAAATAACAAATGAAGTCAAAAAGGGTTGAAAATTGATGATGTGGCTTTGAATGGTGCATTTTGAACACATAAAAACTATGGAGTTCAAATAAATTAAAAAATGAAATCCCTCTGTAACAGACGAGTTTCCGTATGAAACCCTGATACTTCGAAAGAGATTGTCCGTTTTGTACACGAAGTGCATCCAGTTGTTGCCGTAACCCTCTCTACTTTCTTGCACATGCTATGTGGATGAAATGATGATAACATGCCAACTTTCAACCTTTTCAGAGTTCATTTAAAATGCTTTTCAATTTCAGGGTCTTATAGCTCAAAATAATCAGTAAATGCATGAAAAATAACAAATGAAGTCAGAAACGGTTGAAAATTGATGATGTGGCTTTGAATGGTGCATTTTGAACACAGAAAAATTATGGAGTTCAAACAAGTTAAAAAAATGAAATCCCTTTGTAAC